CTCATCCACAGGAAGGTAAAGGCAGAGAGAGAAGAGGGCTGGCTTCCAGAGAGCCATTTATCCGGGTCACACCCCCAAGGGAGGCCATCAAGCTGTGACCTGACTGACAGGCTAAATTCCACTCACACCTCCTTAAAGGTGCTATGTTGGCACAAAAAAAACCTATCGCAGGCAGTTAGTTACGTAATGATATAGCTATCCTCCAGTTTGTACTCGGATGTAGTTACTTTTTCAGCTGTGGCCAAAGCTGATTTTCACATAATACCTGGTCTTTGGATCCTAACTATCCACAAGCGAGGAGTTCTTCTTTATGCGCCACTCACCATCCTTTCTCCTGCGTGCTCAAAGCAAATTACAATTGGGTAAACGTACAGTCTTGGTGTAATTGTATCTGTGATTTACATGAATACACCAGAAGTCGATGCAACTGTATGGAATGTCCTTATTCTACTCCATGTTTTAAGAGCCCCATCGATCTGGTTACCTAGAAGAAGAACTATAAGCTCAAGTTCTTGAATAGCTCTTTGCAAACAAAAATGGTCACAGCACAGCCTGGGAAGCTAAGAGGAGAGAAGGTATCAATGTAGCATCTTTTAGCCCCAATGATACCATTTAATTCCCTTAAGTCCTGCATTTTCCTATGGGATTGGGTGATTTGCCCTGGAGTTATCCTAAAGTTGAGTTCCCAATTGATCACATGGGGTTTGTAGAGGGATCTAATTTGCTGAAGCAAAGACCACACAGCAAACCACACATTCAAATAAAAACTGACTTCCCTATCATTAGAAAGAATGCTCCCCCACAACCAGGAGGAACACAAGATACGATGGTCCTTCAAATTTTGTAGTAAAATGGGATGAAAAGATAACATATGTTCGTGTACTAATCTTTGCAGCTGTAATTGCAAATCTTGAGATCATCTTGGATTGCCCGGATAGACTTTTAACCCAATGATCAGGGTCCTTATAAAAGGAGAAAACACAGATCCAGAGAGGACGGCCACGGGAAGACACAGAGAAAGGAAGAGAAAGAAGATGCCCAGGGAAGACTGAGGCAGAGTGGAAGTTATGCAGCAACAAGCCACGGAACACCAGCATCATCACAACCTGGAAGAGAGAAAAAAGTGTCTTCCTCTAGTACAGGTTCCCAAATTATTTAATCTATCACCTCCTTTGTAGAAGGAAAGAAAAACAAAACAAAACAAAACTCAACACCCCCCGGCATCTAAAAACTTTTGTACGACAGTTTATAATCCAGGATAATGTAGGCATCTGCTTTTGCAGCCCCCTGTGGGATTGTTCCAGCAGCCCCCAGGGGGCAGTACCACCCACTTTGGGAAGCCTGACTCTGTCAATACTTTGATTTTAGATTACCACCTTCAGATCCCTTGATTTTAGATTACCATCTTCAGATACCTTGATTTTAGATTACTGCCTTTGGATCCGTGAGACTGTAAATTTCAGCTATTCTAAGCTAATGGATTTGTGGTGAATTGTTACAATAGCCCTAGGAAATTATTACAGATGGAGAAACACCTAACTCAAATGACACAATGTAAAATAAAGGCTTGAATGTTTATTAATTCCATTAAGATGTAAAATCACAGCGTTAGCTCTTTTAAAGCAAAGGTACCCATGTTTAATAAAACTTTAAGGGGTTTTTGAAATTTTCAGACAACAATCTAGTACATGCAAAGAAGACATCTTAAAAGTATCACCTGTGATTTTCACCCCGATTTCCTGTCACGATAATGTTCATTTATTCCTTCCGTTTCACATGGCAACAATGTGGCAGCGAGAAAGGCAGCAATTGCTTTTGAAAGAAAATGAAAGTGGCCTCAAGCGATTAAGGATTTTCAAAAAGAGCTTGGGGAGCCGAAACCAGGCCTGCTTGTTGGCGCGCTGAGGACACTGGGCTGAGCTGTGGCGGAACTGCAGCATCCTCTCCTCTGATTTTACCTTTGAACAGAATAAAAGGCACTCGTGGAACATTCTCCTGCACAAGGACATGCAGAACTCAAGCCTCGTCACCAAGAAACGCTAGAATCAAAGTAAGTACCAACCCAGCTCCCACAACGGCTGTCAGTAGCATTTCATAGCGTTTGCCTCTCTTGCTAATCATCCCCACAACTTTCAACACAGAGGCTCCGGGACTGGAAGAATAATTTCCACTTGTCTGAAACCGACAAGCTGGCGGAAGCTACATGGTGTTGTCAGAGACTCACACATCCGATCATTCTTGAGAGAGGGCCGAGTTCTTCAAGAGCTCCTTTCCTCAATGCCTGCCTCACCGGATTGACTCAGGTTGTCGGCATGTGACAATGTGCAAGGCCGACCTGCGCATTTATAAAGGAGCCCTTCGTCAGACAGCCCCTGAATGAATGCAAACGCGTATCTCATCCATCACATGCGCCTCTTGTGTCTTTTGCAGACTCTTCCATGCTAACACCCCTGATGATACAGCACCAATTTGAAAACCTTCAGAACCCAGTGATATGGCAAAACTGCTAAAAAACATGTAGGCTTTTGAGAAGTCAGTGGATGTGATGTTCAAGAGATGAGCAAAGCCACAAAGAGGGATCGGCCTGAGCCAACCAAAGAAACGAACATTGACCAGGGTGATGATAACAGGCACGTCCCAAAACAAGGATATGAAAATCCAAGGGCGAAGAGAACAGTGAGACAGCACTTCCATCTTTTTGTTAAAAATGGCCATCTCTATAATATTGTTCCGATCTTCATCAAATACTATCAATACGTTCCCTGGAAACATTAGATCCATTTTTCATCTGTTCTAAGTTCTAGACCGGTTTCAATGACAAAACAAGGATTCTGGGCCCACCCTGCAAACACAGTCCTAATCAAACGGCTTATAAATGGCTTGGCCATGAAATCGCACTCCCTTCTTTAAGTAGCACCAGATGTCCTCAATAAGGAGTCCCTTGGTATGCTACCAGCCGGTCTAGCTCCTACTTGATTCTCTGTTAAGTGTTTTGTTAACATCTCCGAGAATGAATCTCTAGGATCTTCAATCTGGAAGACTCATCTAAACTTCCTGTTATCATGAGGCCTTTTATCAGTCTCCCCTGAGCTCAAATGTCCTTCACTTTGAAGTTTTAACCTTGGACTTTTCAAATGCTTCTGAAGAAAGAAATACCAATTCATCACCCGCTATGCAGCAGGGACGCTTTCTTTTCCCTCGCTCTCTTACCCAACAGCACCCACCTCAGGGGGGGTGGGCCTGTCTCCCGGTGCCTGCTGTGGAGCCTTCTCTTGTCCCTTCGGATTTCGGGACGACGACTTCTCCTGTGTAGGGTGCCCGCTCCACTGGGGTAGGTTGGCAAGTCTGAAACAGAACATTGCATTAAATGCAGCACCGTTATGAACTGAGAGCAAGAAGGAAGCTTGTGACTTTATCACCTCTCCCACCCTCTCATCGGTCCTTTCCTAGGGATTCCTGGCCACTCTTTGCCAGTGTCAGGCAAAGGCCTGGGGACATGTTCCAGCCATCATTCCTTTTGCATTCCAATTTCCTGGAAGCCTCTGCCACATTATCATACCTTCCAGTCCTGCGGCCATCTCTTAGAATCCTATCACACATTCCCTCGTTCTTCCCTTTTCAGTCCTGGAGGATCTGTGTTCCCACAGTGCTCTGTCAAACGTTTCCCGAGTCTTTAGAATACGGTGCTTTAGATAACAGCAAGGTGTGTGTGTGTGTGTGTGTGTGTGTGTGTGTGTGTGTGTGTGTGTGTGAGTGTGTGCGCGCGTGTGTAAGCAACCTTTCCCAGAACATCACACCCCCTAACCACGCCTTGGGTGGGGGACTGTAGAGCAGAAGCCTTGGCTGTGTTCAGTTGGCGTTCAGTCAGCACATTACAATCCATAAAGGAAGGACTCCCATTTGAAAACCTGCACAAAGCGGTAGCAAACCACAGCCATCAGGAGCCTGGGCTCAGTACCCGACTGCCTTAGCGAGTTATTTTGCATGGGGGGCTTCCGCACCTGGGGAGAATAACTTCACCTGCCCCACAAGTTTATAGGCTGAGAGGATTAAAGGCAGCCCATCCCTGGGTTAGGAATGTTTGATTCAGGGATGTGAAGGACCCTGGGTTTATTCAAAGGAGTGGGTGTTGTGTTGAACTGCTAACTTCAGGGACAGCCATTTGAACTCACTAACTACTCCTTAGAAGAAGGGATTTTCTGCCCCCATAAAAGTTTACAGCCTCGCAAACCCACAGGGTCAGTTTTACGCTGTCTTGTCAGGTCCCTGTGTGCAGGTATTAACTGGATGGCAATGAGTTTAAGTTTTGGTTTGGAGTTACAAATTCGGTACCCCAAAGCCTATATTAAAAATTTAAGATGCATACAATAGCTTGTCATGCCAAGTGACAGCTACTTTGGGACATGCATCAAAACATTATCATTACTATAATGTTATGTTAAAGGTATTTTAGTGTAGCTGGAAATGCTTTTATTTATTTTTTTTCAAGCACAGAAATGAACACAATATACTATATATTAACATTTGACTAACTGGCTTTAGATAAAAATGTAACTAACTGTTCTGATTTATGTACAAATTTGATTTAAAGACAAATTAAGGAACAAAACTTGTTTGTAATCTGAAGACTCCTTGTATTAGTAATGGATTTAAGGTCAAGTACCGATTTGATGGCACCTCCCACATTCCATCGTGTCTACATTGAATTCCCATAACATACACACAAACACATACACACAGACAAATCGGCACAAATCATTTGGGGTGTAGTGATCAATCACGTGGGCTTTGGAGTAAGGCAGATCTACGGTTGAACTCTAGCTTTGTTATTTACTAGTTGTCTATGAAACGGGAGGCAGGAAGCCCATCTCCAGGGCTCATGAGAGTTCCCTGACACAGAGCTTTCCTCCATTCAGTCCACATGTCTGTCGAGCACACACGTCCGGCGATCTGTCTGGACAAACTGGAAGCGTAGGTTTGGCAGACACCAAGCATCAGTCAATGTGAGGACCCCGCTCTTACACCACCAGTGCAAGTCTACCGTCGACTTTCTGTGTCTGGTGAGGTGCTTTGAGAGACTTCATCGTGGCTCGTAGTCATCGCCCTGGGTCTTGTTACCATGCTGAGGAGTGGTGACAATGGGAAAGAAGTGCCAGCCTTCCACTTTTGTCACCTGCCCTTGGACATGGTGGTCGCCTGGAGCCATGCCCTACCTGGGACCTTAAATTCACTTGGTGTCCCACTCCCTGGCCTCACCCTCCCATCCTTCCAGTCTTGCCTCTGAAGTACATCAGCACTTTCAGGCCCTTGATCCTTGTTTACTCTTCTCCTGGCTTTATTTTCTAAGCCAGCCTACCTACACGATTAAATAACAAAAATCCACCACACCTAAAACCAAACCCAAACCCACATCCATTCCATCAATTCCACTCATGGTGACCCCATTGAACTTGGCTCCACTAGTTGTCTATTTACAGAAGTCACTGGCCAGACATTTCTTCCAAGGTATACTGCTGGGTGAGTTTGAACCTCCCACCTTGCGGTTAGTAGTGTAGCACCAGTTGTATGATGTAAACCTAGGTCATTTCACTAAATTAGATGTAGAGAAGATTCATACTGGACTATGTTATTTATCATCCAAACTGGGTATGTCTGAAAGTGAGGCAGACTTAACAGACAAATACCAGGACCCTGCTGAGTGAATTAGGATTTATTTCTACCTTTTTTATTTCCTTCCTTGCCGACCATCTCCAGGATCTTGCCTTTCTCTCTTCTCCTTTTGGCATTCATGCTAGCAACAGCCTGGGCCTCTTTTAGTTCTCTCCTCAGTCATTTCTGCAGGCAGGAGCCCCCACAGAGAGTGGCACAGGGGGACAGGTATGTGTCACCAGGGAACTCTGGCGGCACCGTGGTTAAGTGCTTGACTGCTAACCATGTGGTGAATGGTTCCCATCCGCCAGCTGCTCTGTGGGAGAAGTGCGTGTGGCAATCTGCTTCCATAAAGATGACACTTTCGAAACCTTCCAGCATACATTTACTCTGAACTGAAATCGAATGGGCATCGTTTTGGTTTTGACTTTCACGGTCTGTGTCCCTCTCCCTCGTCATGCCGTACCAGTTCGTCTGAACTTGACTGCTTTTGGATTTGAGCGCGTATGTATTTGTTTATCCTGGATTCCATTTGGGGAGTAGCGTTCTGGCACCAGTGACTCGGGTGGTGTCTGGGGCTCCATCCTCCTCGCTCAAGGGTGGAGTTTGCTCTATGAGTTGATGGGCGTCTCAGAGGATCGCTTCCCCTGAGCCCAGCAGCAGCTTCGGGACGAGGACATGTCTCAAAATAGGCAAAGCAGAGGCCTCTCGGAATCTTCCTGCAGGGAGTGCTCCCTCCTTGTTCTGAGGTCACTGAGCTGGCAGGAGGGCTTCCATGCACAGAGCTGCAGGGGCACAGCTCCCAGGATGCCGTCTGAGCCCAGGCACCCAGAGCAGCCCTGAGCTTTACAGTCACATGAGCAAATAAAAGCCCCTTTGTGACTTCAGCTGGTTCGAGTTGAACTCCGTCTTATTTCAAGAGCTTCGCTCTTCTTCTAAACTGTATCACCTGCCCTCTTGATCGTAATCCATCCTATTCCACTTAGATTATCCAACAGGAACTTCCTGCCTCAAATCTTACAGCCTCAAACCTTCCTGTACTCATCCACCCAGCTGCCTCCCTCCCACAAAGGGAAGGCATTTCTCTCAAGGACTGTGCTTGGACCTTTTCCATGGCCTCCTCTCCCGGACACTGATGTTCAGGATGCTCAGATCAGATACCATGTTCTGTTGTCCACTCCCCCGCCCCCCAACAACCTTCATTTCCCAGCCCCCTGTGAGTTACTAACAAAGATTTTATGGCTTTGTGGGAGATGAAAGACGCCCCACAGAAAATAGTTAAAACTTCCTTGTGAGGAATCCTGTTCTCCCAAATTCACCTCTTCCTAACGTTTCAATTAGCCAAAAGCCAATGAACCTCTTTCCAAATTCCCATAGCTCACTTGGCAAAATAAAGGTCTTGTTTGGTCCAACCTGAGCTCTCCTTGGTCCCTTGGACAACCCTGAAGACTCCATCCATCCTGCCCTCGCCTTTTGGTACCAGGTAATCTGGCAGCTCTCTCGCACTCATGCCCACCTCCCCCAGGACCATCTTCTCTGTTCTGTTTATGCTGTCCCTCTGCCTAGAAAAAAGGTGTGATTCATTTCTACAGACTACTCAAGTCCTACCCTGGGCGATGCTACTTTCACCAATCCCTTTTGTTGCCACGCTCTGTGGAAGACTGATGTGCATTTACTGTCTCCAATTCTTCACCCTCGTTCACTTCTCAAGCCATTGTAATTTGGCTTCCTCCCTTCAAAGTATCTACAGAAATGGATTTTTCTCAACTCATCAATGATGACCAAGTGGTCAAAATCAGCACTTTGTGCCTGTGTAGGTTTTTTCGCACTGTAGCTTTTAAACTCTCTGTGCACGGCGCCTTCGCTCTCGTCACCCACCTGCTCCTACCTGGGCTGCTCAAACACCATCCTTCCTTAGTGTCTTTCCTATTTTTTCTTTGGCAGCTTCATCGCTCTGCCGTGGCTTCCTCTGACCGTTGTGCATATACACAGGCATACACACAAATGCTATCAATCTAAGATTTAGTCTTCAGCAAACTCATGCTCTCAGTTTACACATTCTTACTGGTCACTCTGGCCTTTACAAAATTGTCAGCACGAGTCTCCTGTTTCCATCTTCCCCGGTTATCTCTTCTCCAGGTGGCACTTGCTCGTTTGCTGGCTGCTCACTCACTGCACCAGAGATGCTCCTGGACCACTCTTGCTTTCTCCGGTCACTCGGGCCCCACTGACCATCATACGTCTCTGACCCGACCATCCAGGTCTCATCTGCACACAGTCTAACTCTAGCCTCCTCCTCTGGGTGGGCAGGAACTGGTTTCCTGCCCAGAAGGACCATAAAAAGTAACTGCTACTGTTCACCCTACCGCCTCAGAAAGGAAGCAGCCTTGTCTCGGGGGCTTTGTCACCCTTCAAGATCTCCTTTGATAGAGAAGTTAACAGGGACCAAAGACCACTTAGTCCCAAGCCTCCCAGAACTTTTAACATTTTAATACGTTCTCCTTAAAGCTGGGTTACATAAGCTTTTAGGCTCATGGGTGATTTCTCTTGGCATCTCCATTGCCCCATGTATGGTACTCCATGCATATTTCAGAGCCTCACTGGGTCTCCTCTGTGACACAGTGGCAAGGAGATGGCACTCACTGCAGTCTCTTATCCTGTCCTGCTGTGACTTAGAAGTTCAACTGCATATTTGT